CAGGTTGACCTTCACGAATTAAAGTACTTTCAATCCGATAAACCTGAGGAGACCAATTTTTATCTGTAATCCGTCTTTTAGGTGGACCATATTCTAATTCACCAGGTTTAAGTAAATATCGAACAAAATCTTTATAAGACAAACATGGTTCATCAAATCCAACAGGTCTTCTATGTTTTACTGCCAGCTCTGCAAATATTTTTTTTACCTTTTAATGCTCTTTTTACACCCTCATTAGGAGTCATATGTATTAATCTAGTAACATTATTATTAAAAGTATCATCATTTATGCGAAGGCCTTTAACCCAAGCTCTACATCTCTCAGTTAATGGTAAACAAAAATCTACAGCATCTTGTCTATAAAAAGCATGTTTTTCAAATTCTTGATGATCATGCTCAGTGATAGCAACACCTTCCTTAGTTACAGCATACTGAATTTTTACACCATGGCTAAGTAATAAATCTTTGCACTCACCTAAGTATTCAGTACCTTTATCCACAATTAAAACTTTAGGCCAGGTAAGGAGGCAATTCGGATCACCATAAATTTTTGTAAACATTTTAGCTAATGATATTGATGACTTATTAGTTAAAGCATAACTTTTATGGAATCTAGTTGCTACATCTTTTATTACTCCTCTGTGCTTATAAATTCGATTGCCAATTTTATCATAGAGCATGGGAGTAGTATCAGATTGATGTACTTCATTTAAATCATGTATACTATTAAAAGAAGCATATTGAATAAACTTAGGACGAGGCTTATGAATCTGAAAAATAGCTTGCTTGTTTAACCAATCTTTTATCACGGCTAATGAAAAATTATATCCAGCTTTTCTACATGCGTCCTGCATTTTTTCAGCAGTCCGATAATAACCTTCAGGCTTATAATATAGTTTCTGCATTACGATCTCCCTATCCAAATCATGGGCCTTCTGTGGGTTAATATAAATCACAGGTTTCTCCATTCCCTGCCAATTCGTTTTTCTCATTGTCAGGATTATATAGTATAATAAAAAATAGTTAACAATATATATCTGAGCACGAACTGTGAGTGGACAGCATTATAGTCAATAAAAACAATAGACGAGTTACAACAAACTAATCAAGAACTCTATGAGGTAGTATCGCAATTAGTTGAATCAAATAGAAATTTTGAACAACGTCTATATACCTTAGAAAGAGTTATTAGTATACGAGAAGAAAGGATACGATATCTTGAAGAAGAGTTAAATAATGCTATCGAACTATCTACACAAAACAAAAAAGAATTGTTAGAAGAAATCTCAAAACTAAAAAAAATCGTTCATCAGCTCGAAGAAGAAAATAAAAAGAAAGACAAGGAAATCTCAAATAAGGATAAGTTAATATCAGAATTCGTTGAATGTGAAACAAAATTAAAAAATCGTATATGGGAAATATCAAAATCTGCAGGTAATACCTCTAAGGCGCAAGATTATACAACCAGATTAGTGGATGAGAATGAACATCTTAAACGAGAAATAAATACAATAAGAACCAATCAAATAAATAGGATTAGCAAAATAAATCAGCAAAAAAACCGTATTACAGACCTTCTTTGTCAAAATTTTGCATTAGCATTATTGAGATATCGAGATAGGTTAGAACTTATAAATACCAGAGAGGTTCTGCAAAATGCAGAAGTATGGAATCTTAATGAAAATGAATCTGATTCTGATGAAAATTCTTTAGATATTTATAATCAAACTTTAGATATGGCTACAATAGCTGAGTTAGCCATTGCTATAGATGACTATCTAAATAATACAGCATCAAGTAGAACGATTTTGTCAAACTAAATAAAAAGAGCAACAAGATCAATTCGCTAAAAGTTTGCCAATCTACAACAGGATCTTGTAAATGAGCAATGGAACTCTTATTATTATATGCAAGAGCGTGATCATTATATGCAAGAGCGAGACCAAGCATGGCAACAATTGCAACAATGTCAGGCTGACTTAGGTCTTTGTGAATATAATCGAGATCGGATTTATGATAGATATTACAATAAATAGAAAAACCGAAAAGCAAGCCATATTAAATGGAAAAATAGAGAGCATAATTCTCAGCAAATAATTTTGAATTTACAGCAGCAAAATTTATTGCTACAGAATAATCCACTAAATATGACAGAAGCAAGACGTTTACCTACATTGAAATATGTATCTACTTTTTTAAATCTGATTCCTCAATATTTTGGTCAAATGCCCCCTAATGATTACTGTGATATGATTATACAAGCATGGGCTCCTGCTATACCAAATATGACAGCTCTTGAAGATGCAAATGCTGGAGATTTTGATGATGCTGTCAAAGTCGAAATTATGAAGGGTAAGATGCAGGAAAATATGCTCCAGTACCAGCTCAAAATAACTTTGTAAATCTTGTAGTTAATATCAATAGTCCAGATACAATACGAGCATGGTTAAATGAAAAATATCAACGAGAAACAATTGGAACTAAGAATTCAGCTATTCAGAGATTGAGTCAAGAAAGATTCCAATCTTATGATACACCAGATATGTATGAAGCCAGAATCCGTCCACTTATATTAGGTGTAGCAAATAATGATGCCTATGTCTTAGGGACTCTTAAGACTCATTTATCAGGAGATCATGAGTTTTATAGTTGGATGAGAAATGAAAATATAGTGGGTATTAATGAATTTTTCACTATATTGAAAAATATGTGGCTCGAACGTTCTAGTTTAAATAAAGGGCAAAATTTCGATCAAGCACAACCAAAGAAAAAATTATTAGCGAAGCAAAATGATAGTATTATATCACAACCTGTATTCCTATCATATGATGAAATGCAAAAATCCTTCCAAGCTATGATGGAAAAACAGAAGATTGAATTCAAAGCTGAGATTGAAAAACAGAAAGCCGAGATTGAAAAATTGAAAGCCGAATTTGAAACAAAAATGACTCAACAATCCAAAAAATCTTGCCCTCCAGTTCCACCCAAAGATTATGAACAAATGCAAGAATTCTATGAAGGTCAAGGTGATCCTAGATGAAAAGATATTAGTAGAGAAGAAGCACTAGAGTGGTTAGATAAAGCTTTCCCTCCTCCCATACCAACTAAACCAGAACGATTGCATTCATCAAATCAAAATGCTAGAATAGATAGAATAGAATCGAAAGTAAATAAAATCGGTCAAATGGCATCTCAATTCGGAAAGATGATGCTTAATAACAAAAAACCCATAGCTAAATCAAATTCAACATATCGATACTTTCCTTCTCTAATACCTTCCCAATCCCAATATGCATCTCCTAATTCAGATGATAATGAGGATGAAGAAGGTGGATATAATGAGGAAGAGAATAAATGGCATGCTCCATCTCAGTCAGAAAAAAAAAACAGGTACCGGTAAATGAAAAAATGCTTCCAGAACTTAGTCAGCCTGAAATATACGATAAACTATTACCAAAGCTTTCACCAGCAATGTGTAAAATGTGTCAGTCTCATATAGTCCAGGAAAAAGAATCAAAATCAGATGAATGGTTTTCGTCATTGCAATACTTGCATTGTAATATAAATGATCTATTGATCACTAATTCCTTTTTAGATAGCGCAAGTGAATTTGGAGGAGTAAATGATGCAACAATTAATGCCCTGGGGTGGAAAGCTGATAAGCCTTCTGACTTTGCTATAAAGGGTAATTCCAAACATATATCTGAATCATTAGGATGGTATACAGATGTGCCAATTAGTGTAAAGGACAAAGATAGTAAAACAGTCACAGTTTCAGGAAATTTTGCACGTATTGATAATGGTGAACCAGAACCAATGCTATGTATAGGTATGACATGGATTCGAAAGGTTCATGGTATTCTTGACCCGAATAAAAACCAATTTCGCATAAAGGTTCATGGTAAGTCTTATATTATACCAACATTCAGCAGGGCTCCAGTAGCCAAGGATCCGCCAAAAGATATAGAGACCTTAGAAGTATTGGATTCCGATTCATCAAGTGAAGAGGTAAAAAAAAATGCATAAATTGTGAAAGTATGACTATCCGTGTAAAGGAGCTTGAAAAAGCACTATTTACTAATATCCTAACTAATTCAGAATTTATTGGATATTATAATAATTTGCGTGATCAATATAAAACAAAAATTAGTCATATTAATTCTAAGCTTTTGAAATAGGAGCAGATAGTTTAGAAATATCAGCACGTACAACAGCTCTTATCTTTTTAGCCTCCTCTTGTGTTCTCTTATAGAATTCTAAAGGATCTTCAGTTTTTTGTGAGGCTTCAGGTGGTATAGTTTCTTTTTTTGCTTCTGATATTTTGTCTATCTTTTCAGTCGAATCTTTACTAATAGAGTATTGATCAGAAATACGCGCAGACTTGAACTTGGATTTTCTCTTTTTTGTCTCTTCCACAACTATAGGTATTGAAATATCACTTTCCGAATCAGCTAAATATGGATTCCAAACATTTGTGCAAACCTCTTTTCCTTTCTATATCCGATAAAAACGAGTATTGGACATAGGATATTTATCTCTAAGCATCTCTAAAGGTTTGGATTTTGCATCTTTGTATTGCATAATATATTTATAGTCATCTGGTGATAGTTTGACTGCATCAGATCGCATGGTCTTGTTAATAGTATCAGTAATATTGATAAAAAAAAATACTAATGATATTATTGATAATACCAGTAATATTGATAATATTGATAATATCCGTAATATCTATAATATGTTATTATTGATAATATCCGTAATATGTTATTTTTATTAAATATAGCTAAGCTGAAAAATATATGGCTAATATATGTACATTGCGAGATATTAACTCAAAAGGACATCGTCTTGGAAGTGCTAGGGAGGTGGAACTTGAAGAAGCTTTACATGATA